CGGTTGAGGTCCGGCGGTGCTCACTGCGATCTGGACGCCGCCGGTTGGGCTCCGGCAGTGCTCACTGCGATCTGGACGCCGCCGGTTGAGCTCCGGCTGTGCTCACTGCGATCTGGACGCCGCCGGTTGACCTCCGGCAGTGCTCACTGCCCTCTTGAGCTTGTAGTTGAGGTCCGGCAGTGCCCACTGTGATCTTGACCTTGTAGTTGAAGTCCGGCGGTGCTCACTGCCCTCTTGAGCTTGTAGTTGAGGTCCGGCAGTGCTCACTGCCCTCTTGAGCTTGTAGTTCCGGCAGTAGAGGACCAGGAGGAGAAGGAGGAAGAAGAGAACATGAGCTCACATAAAATCTAACAACCCTCACTTGGCAGGTGGGGAATTAAAACAATCATTTGAGAAGCTCACAAAGGGCACCCCCTCAGAAGCGCCGGTCCCTCCTCAACTATCTGCACGACTACCCCCTATCAGATCCTGTGCCCATGGCCTTTTTGCTTGTGCTTCTTTAAACTTATTACGACTACCCCTGCTACTACTACTACTACCACTACTCCTACTACTACTACGACGACTACTACGACGACTACGACTACGACGACGACGACGACTACTACGACGACTACGACTACTACGACCATGACTACGACTACGACTACTATACTCCTACTCCTACTCCTACTCCTCCTACTCCTCCTCCTCCTCCTGCTGCTGCTGCCTGCTGCTGCTGCTGCTGCTGCTGCTCCTCCTCCTGCTGCTGCTGCTGCTGCTTCACCGTCCAATGGTCTCATAGCACATTATTTAAGGGAGGTGGACCTTATGAGTGGTATCTCATATCTTGTTGACAATGTGGGGGGGGGCTCATTAATCAGCATTTATCAGGCGTTTGCATTAGCATTGTTCAAGTTAATCCCGGGCGCCTATTTTTCAACAAATGCGCATTTTAAACAATTCATGTCTGAGACAGCTTCCTGTGTTTTTAAATGTCCGCCTTCTTATTCTGCTGCTAAAGTACTCCCAAGGTCATTTTCACGGAGGTGTTTAAGTTAGATACCCACCCACTAGAATCACAACCAATCGTGCCCCTCACTAGCGACACGCCGCATTCATACACGCATGTGCACCCTTCCCCAATCGCACGAGCCATCGAAGAGTCGAAGAATCACTACTATGAATATAGGGCTGTGTAAAGGGAAGACCCTTCCATCTGGAGGTGTTTTTTCCATTCTTGATACGAGTTGAATAAAGGGTTCTATATACAATTTGCCGAGACAATCCATCTTTGCGGGTCCCCCTATTTAGGAAAAAAGACGCCGGATTTCTTCTTTTGGAGGGGACAGTGCTTTTAATTTAATGGATGGAAGGGATGAAAAACATCTACAGTAAAGCAATCTCTTTATCTCTTCCACATCTGGTGCCGTGATTGAAAACATGGACAACTCCTACCAATTCGGCTTTGCATGCATGCATGCATGCACACCATATGGACCCCCCCAAAAAAAAGTGATCGCCCCACTAGCCGGGAGCCAATTCCGGTCCGTGCTGGTGGTTTTGGGGGGATGTGGTGAGGGGGCCCTGTCTGACAGCCTTGGCCCTGTTCGTTTCGGCTGGTCTTGGGATGCCCAAGACCAGCTGCGGACGTTGGAGAGGTCGGGGGGGGCCCACCACCACCACACCCCAGAGTCGAGGTCGAGGGAAACGTGGAGCCGTGGGTTCCACGGATGAACGAAGACGCCCTTCAGTGAAGACCGTTTTTGTGTTTCACACAAAAACGAAGAAATTCGAGTTGTCGTGCATGTCTCTCAGAGATCTACAGTACAATGACTAAATGGGTGAAATGAAACTGGCCTGGCCCCGAATTCGGATGACCATCTTCCTCTACAAACCGGTGGCTTGCACGAAACCCTGTTCGAGGGGAGACTCAATGAGGTCTGTTCTTCGCCTTGTTTGCCCCGAATGCGCATCGCGGCACGAGCCCCGTGGCGACCGCGCATCGCATCGCCGGCGGCGCCGGAGGCGGCCCCGATGAGCCTCGTAGGCACAGCGCACGGGACGTTCCACACCGCCCACCCGGCGGCCCTCCTGGCGTTCGGCACGACCGACGCAGCGCGGAGCGCGGAGGACCGGGGTGACCTGCCGAGGCCCAAGAAAGATCACAACGTCACTCACTTGTGTAGAGAAATGTCATTAAATGTCTAAATGTCTATAATGTCACAGGAAATAGCACATCTTGCAGGGAAGTGAAAGAAGTAAGGAATATGGGGGCACCACTGGGGGCACCAGGCCCTCCAATATGTCGGAACATTCAGAACCACGCCCAGGTGAATGGAAACAATTTGGCACACAATCCACCCACAAGGCCCACAACATGTGAAATCTAACATCAAAAACCCTCTCCTGGATGTCCACATGCGCCACACAATCTTCAGGCAATACTGCCGAGTGCCTGCCACACGTTTGCGCCGGAGCACGGATGTATCAGATGCGTGTGATGGAGCATCAAATGGTTTTCGCACCAAGGGGGCTTTGAACGAACCATCTTTCAATGCTCTGGACGTCGTTTGCACCTGGTGGAACCTCTACAGGATCTTCTCTTTGAAACCCTCGCGATCCGGGTGGAACGCCTGAACGCGATTTCCGGCGACGTGTCGCCTCCGAAGCGGCGACGTGTCGCCTCCCGTGACTCCGCTCTCCCCGCGCTGGCGCCTGCCGCGATCGGTGCCCCCGGAGGCCTCCTGACGGGCACAGGCCAACCTCCAAGGGGTGGACCCCCAGGCTCACGATGATAACCTTCTCTATGTGCACATGGCCAGGCCTGCAGGATTGACCTTGAAACTGTCAATGGGTTCTTACTTCTTTGATGCGGAAGCACGTGCCACCTCACCAAACCTTCTATTTTTTCACCATGCAACTCCTGTTTGTTTCCACACTTGCCAAGGCCTTGTTCAACAAGGGGAGGCTGTAATTGCGAAGCTCGGCTTCATGAGGCCCATCCACCCGCATGACTCTTCCATAGGGCGCCCCGTCTCCAATGACGAAGCGCCCGCCCAAACCCATCCTCCCCGCGCGCGCGCCCGGCGCGCGCGGCACCAGCCAGGGCAAATAGGGGAAGCCCGCCGCTGCCAGGTGAAGCCCGGCGACCTGGCGGAGCGACCGGAGCGTACGTCGTCCCAGGGGAAAGAAGCGAAGAAGCGCGCTGGGTGACCCGGGCTGAGGGACCACCGATTGTTTTCAGCTGATGTGGGAACCTACAAGGGTCTTCATGTATTGGATCATGCAGTACATGGATGGATGTTGAGTTGTCCATAAATGTTTGGATGCAAAGGGCAGCACGGCGACAAGACTCAAATGGATCATCAAAACTCGGAAGGGAACAAAAGATTACAAAGTAGAACCTCATGTCCAACTACTACCTACAGTACGTGGTTGCTGGGAGTGTTTTTTGGGCACGACGGTGCGCACCTTGGAAAAACTTGAGGAAGTCCAGGCATACATGCAGAGAAGCTGCTGTGAGTCATTGCCTGCCATCGAAGGTGTTGGTGGTTGAACTTGCGGGGGTTCTGTTTCGCTGCTGCATCCCCCCACTGGCTGTGGCCCACCGATGAGTCGCGACGCTGGGTCGCACCATGAAAGCGATCACCAAGATGAGGCGTTCGCGTGCGTCGGCACCTCGCGGCGTGCGTCGGTCAAAGGATGTGGTCACAAACGAATGGATAGGGGAGGGAAAAAATGGAGTGACGTGGTCACGCGGTCTCTGTTTGGTTGCAACATGCCTTCTGTTGGAGAGGTTGGTGGCGCACGTGGTTGCGCGTGTTTCGGACAGGATGACTTTAGTAGTTCTAATGTATGTTCTACTTGGTCCTCTTTGGCCTCATGGCGGTTCTCCAATGACCACATCTCTATAGCCTACCCAAAAAGCACCCTATACGTAGTTTCTGGCAGGCACTCGCAGTGTCTGGTGGTGACTCAGACTATGGCCCGTTGATATCGTTGTTTCACTACAACTCACTGGCCACGTGGAAACATGGCGCTGGAAAGGTCACCGCTGCAAAGGGTGACAGCTACGTCATGCAGTCTGTCTCCGCCTCCGCCATTGCTTTGGGTCTTTAAATTGACCTGCTGAGTTGCAGGTCAATAAATCTGAATACCTGTCCATTTCCCAGCGATTTGGTTGCAATACCCAAACACTCCATGTATGGCAAATATATGCATTCACCCCTGAAACCACCCTAATCCGCCGACCCCGGTCGGAGCAGGCCGATGAAGGCGATGTCGGTCTGCCATCACATGACCAATCTGACAAAAGATTGACTACGCTCCATCCAACAAACATGGAAGTGGAACAAGGCCCCTTGGAAGACTGAATTCCTTTATGAACCCGCTGTATTCCACTTCCATGATTGTTTCAGGGAGGGTAAATGTCTAAAATTCATCTAAATTCTTTATTCTTTGCTGACCATCGAGATTTTGCGGAAGAGCGTTGCCCAGGATTCGGCCTTGGGCTCCCCCATGGTCCCTGTGGATTCGATCATGAGGCCATTGTGCGGCGTGCGAAAGCCGTGCGTGCAGCCGCCAAAAAGAAGAAACATGCTTTTGGGGAAGGCCGTGAAAGTCTCATGGAGCGTCTGGGATGGGGAAATTCTTCTCCACGACTACGCTGACGCCAGCCTGCGAGGGCCAGGACATTGGCATAGGCCCAGCGTGCCGACAAGCGCTGCACAAAGTCAGGCCCAGCCTGGCTGACAGGCTCAAGTGGCAAGGCAGGCCTTTCAGCTGGCTCTCCACTCTCCCAACATCAAGTAATTATTAATTGAGTTATTGACTTCAGTGACTCCAACCTTCCGAGTACAAGGTTTCCTTCGTGGGACATCCCAATCTTCAGACTGGCGGGTTTCGGATCGTTGTATCGGGTGATCATCCGATGTTCGACTGGGATCTCAACGGTCCCCAATAAGTACGTAGCAAATCACCATCTTCATCGTCTGAGATCGAAGTAGGTCAGGTCAATATATACTGGTAGATGAACGGGCTTACCGCTGGGGGGATTTGACACCCTAGGGTGTTTGATTCTGGAAGGGATTTAGTTACAGGTATTATATATATACTTATACAAAGTTCTAGCATGTTCTTCCGATCGCCCGACCGGTGACTCACCCAAACATGGTGGCCATGTTTGAGGCACACGTGTTCGAAGCCAGGCGAGAATTTGATGTTCTTAGACCTGTTTTCTCCGCCAGCTCCGAGTAGATGTTGCAAGGACGAAGAGGTTGCTACTGAGACGGCCCTCCCCATCCGCATTGAAAAAGGCCTACAGTATCTCTCAGTTCGGGGCCGCTGATGCACGAACCACCAACCCGATCAGATCCGCTGATGCACGAAGAAAGCAAAAAGGCTCATGGCATGTGGAAAGCCTGCAGCTTTGAGGCTTCCAATCAAGAGGGGCCATGTGCGTTTCACAGGAGGGAGACCAAACCGTTCTCGAAAGCCCAGCTTTTTTTAGTGGGGGGAGGTCACAATCACGCAAATAGCACATCATCTGCTTTTCTACTCCCACTTCGCCTGTGGCAGCAAGCCTTGTGGCCGACTCCCCACTGACACCTGGCACCAGGTGTCAACTGGCTTCTTCGCTTCGGGGTCCTCGCTTCGTTCCGGTCGCATCCATCCCTTCCCTACCGGGTCCTCCTGCAAGAAGACGATGGGGAAAAAAAAAAGAAAAACCATACCGGCATAGACCCCAGATAGCACTTCAAGAAAAGTTGGATAGCACTTCAAGGTATATAGTTGGGGAGGAGAAAAAAAACTTCCCACCAAAAGAACCATCCCCCAAACTCATGGAGCTCTGACTCGACTCAACGTGGAGCTCCGGCACATCTCTGCACGACTCGGAAGTGGGGGATCCACGCGGTGGGGTGGATCCCCCAAACCTCCAGGCCATCAAGACGAGACACCAGAAGTCCCGCAGTCCCGCAGTGGGTTCCTTGATGAACTTCTCCCTATTGGTCGTACTGCAGACCCCCCTTCTTTCAAACACACCTCCAGCACGACCTGCAGTTTCCACGACCAAATGCTGGCCACTGGTGGGGAACCTTTCCATGAAGGAGCAGACCCACAGACAGGACCACGACATCAGTGGCGCTAGACATCGTGTTGAAGGGGTGCTTTGTTGGACCCCCACCAGGTGCCTGGGGCGCCCCCGATCCTCCCTCCAGCGACATGGAACCGCTGGTCGAAACCGTCGGGACCCGACACCTGGACGTTCGAGCTTGCTGGATGGGCCTCAAAACCACTCCAGGTGACTCCTCCTGGTAGGTTTAAGTTCCGTTTCGGCCGCCATTGGTCGGACTGGGCTCCAAAACACCTGAACTTGATCAACAGACAGTCCAACCGGCTCCTGGGTTTCAAATAGTTGCGCAGGCTTCGCAGGCTTTATCAAAGCTCATGTCGTTTTTCCAGAAAGTGCGAAAGGCGTTGCTGCTTCAGTGAAACAGTTTTGTGTCATGGCTTTGCTCATGTGTGCTCGGATGTCCTTTGTCACACGGTCACGCGCTCTTTTTGTCGATCTCGCCCTCTTTGGTCTTCGTTCACTTCGGACACCATATGAGCATCAAACCGGTGGGTACCCAAGAGGACCGAGAACAGCAAGGTGATCACCATCTGAAGCGAAGACGCCGATGTACTGCTCTTCCAGGTGTCTGCCAAATTTCTCTATCTCAAGAGTCCCACGACCACTCTTTACTAAACCCTGGTGATGGTGCTCATCTAAGGCCTCGCCGAAGCCCGTCAAACAAAAATCAGGATGCCACAGCCCACAGCCACTTGATGTCCTGCTATGAAAAAAACAGCACATTCCAGTGTCTATGGCGGCTAGTGGCTTCGACAAATCGGCAGCACGAGTTGAATCGAGCGTTCGGTGAGCTCAATACAGTGAGATTGAAAAAAGAAGACCTGGAAAAACAATGGGTGTACACATTTGAGAACTTCGTTCCGCCCACGAGGCCAGTGGACAACCTGACCTAATTACAACGACCTACAGCATCTAAGCAAAAGAAACAGAATCCCAAACCCAGGCAATCATGGCTTCAAATGACCAGGTTAAATGCCGGAAACACTCTTCGCTAGTGGTGGGCGCCGCTATGTATGACCTCAATCCAATGGCAGTTTCACATCGAACCGATGTCTTCAAAAGGCCGCTCGAAGCACTGCCTGGCTTTCTGTGGGAAACCTGTCTCGTTCGCCGATCCGCTTGGAACTTGGCATCATGAAAGCTGCCAGCGTCCACAGGTTGGGTATGGGCTCCGTTAACAGGGTCCCTGTTTGCCTCTCTGGAACGTCACAACCGACACACCCAACGCCTAACCGTGGGCTCACCTAACCGGGGGCACATCCAAAGGCGTGCAGGAAGCCCACTCACCCATAGAACATTTAGGCACATCCATTGAACAGAGTAGGGTTGGCTGAGTCACCTGCCAACTGGAGAGAAAACACACTTGGCAGCTTGGAAGCATAAGTGTCAGGAAGTTGACTTGTCAACTTCAGCGGTGGGAGCTGTCCGAGCCTCCCCTGGCACCCGTGTACTGATTCGACCACGCCAAACAGTTATATAATCGAAAAAGCCAAGCTGTGCAAAACTTCCCAGTTGCATTAGGATGTTCCGCTAAACGCGCGATTTCCATATGGCCTTCCGTTTGTAGCTTGCTCTGCCATGCTCCTACTTTGCAAAGTAATTATGCCTCTTGAGTGTTCAATAGCCTGGCTCTGCAGCTGGCTCTGCCGCCTGGCGTCCACATCTTTCATCTTCGCCACAATTCCGTAGTTTCCTCCACCAATCTTCTCCAACAGGACATAGCGGCCGCACAAATGCTCCTCATCGACGTCGAAAGTATCAACCTTGCAGCCCGGAGCCCAGATTGAATTTGAGTTGACTTCCGTTGCTTGTCTTCCAAGTTCTGCATATCCCCTATCATGGTTTCCCTTCACCAATGGCTGTCCCTGCCTCGTGCGTAAGCAGGTCTCTGATGATCGGCGGCTGCATCACAAGTGCCATTGCCTTCCGGAGGTCTCTCCTTATTGGCGCCTTCAAGCAATACAAACGTTGTCAAAGCAGCCCAAATGTCTGCAGCATAATTGAAGGTGCGGTATGCATCGATTCCATAGTTCCAAACGGATCATTGCTCTCAAGAAAACGACTATTATATATATTATACTACTGTATTATATTGTAATTTTGCAAGCTCGCAATTCCGTTTTGCTCTCTGCAAGTGCTGCACAACTTGTCTGAAAGAAAGTGCTCTGCGCAAGCTCTGCGCAAGAGCTAGTGCTCCAGGCTGTGATGTGAGGTGGAACCATGGGTGAACCAGTTGAGCAAAAACCTTGCCTGGAGAAGAGAAGTGGCGGCCTTTTTGTTCCACAAGCCTTGTCATTCTTTACATCCTGATCCTTGTTGAAGCAATTTGCTCGATCTTGTGCCACCAAATTCGATCAACTTGAAGGACAAGAAACTCTGCCGCAAAGGAAACCAGAGACACCGGTCACTCTGCCGCAGGTCAAAAAGGCACTGAGAGGCAGGAACCCGTCTCCTCGTGAGAGTCTGCAACATGGAAAACCTTCAATCTCTGAGTGGCTTCCTTGAGCTCAAAATAAATTGGCAAGCAGGGCATGGCATTGTTTTGCATTTTTGAACGCCCAAACACAGGAATTCAGATGGATCCGCTTCGACTGCTGGTTCCGTCAAGTTATAAGGCTTTGTTCGTTGCTTCTGTCACACTGCCAGCTCTGTGAAAGGTTGGCCACACTGTCAGATGGAGGCCGGAAGCCGTCCATATCGGACTACACTCTTTGGCTCAATCGTCAAGTTAGTTGGACAAAATAGTTGCGTACCAAACACTCATTGGTCGGACTGGGCATCAACGGGTTTGGCTGGTTGACCACAGACAACAGAACGTCCTGGAGGGTCCCAGTGTCAACTGGTTTTGACCCAGGCAGCCCTTCGGCCCGCTCGCGCCTCGCGCCCGCGCCCGCGCAATGCTTGCCGCCCAAGCCTAGACGCGCGGGCGCAAACGCGGAAGCCATGTCTAATTGAAGACGCCACTCCGAATTCATCGATGGCATGGAAATTGCTCCAACCCATGCGGGGTGCTTAGTGCTAGGCTCATGCTTTATCCCACAGACCTGCGAGGCTTCACCTCCAACCCCCGGCCACCGTTGCCCAGGTCTCCCGACTCCAAAAGCACATCACAAGACCTCGAGGATGGCGGATTTCCAGTCGGACAGGTGTCACACGGTTTCTAGCCACAGCGGACGGCCAGGTGTCTAAGCCAGGCCGCGAGTCCGGCAAAAGCATGCCCAAAAGCCCGGGTGTTCGAACGCAGCATCTGCTGCGTGGTTTTTCACGCCGCAGGCGGGGCGTTTCAATGCAGAGGTCCGAGCCCTAGAGTCTTCGAGTCTTCGAGCATGCTGGAAAAAGCCCTCATCCCCTCATCCGGTGGTGCGACGTTTCCTCGAATCCGGGCGGATGGTTCTTGACGGCACAAGGCCGAAGGCCGAAGCTCTCAGCAGGGGTTGACCTCCATTCAATCCATTCGCTTGACGTGAGTGATGTAGATTGTATATTGTGACTCCTTTTTCATAAAGCCACCCAGTAATGACCAGAATAGCTGTTGCATGTCATTTTATCATCTTCCAGCCCTGAAAAGCTGTTGAGATTCCTTGCCTCCCACAGTTGGAGCCCCTGACCCCAGACAGTCACTCCAACCCAAGCAGGGCTCCCCACAGCGCCGCCCGATCGAGGTCTCGGGGCGCCTCTAAGGCGCCTCCGGCATCCGCAGCATCCCCAGCGCCACATGGGACATGGACCACGTGGAAAAAAGGAAAACGTGGATCGATGGAACCGGCCAACCGGATCGAACAGGCGAAGATGGAAGAGACCAGGCGGAACCGCATGCCGCAAAGCAGTGTGGGTGTTCAGGTTCCGTATGGGTCTCTTCCGGGGCGGGTCTTCGCATAGAGCGAAGAGCAATGGGGATAGCCAAGGGTCATTGTAGGTTCTTTGTTCTCTTTCTCGCGTAGTCTGCCCCAACCGCGCGCCCGACTGTCACCTGGCCATGCTCTCAAACATCCTCTGCGAACGTTGTGGTTGTTGGATGAATCCTGATGAATCCATAAGTCTGCTCCGGTCCCCGAACCAGTCCGGCAGCACCCAGACTGTAGCCTCCCTTCCGCGCGCGGCAAAAGGGGCGAAGCAGCAGTGGCAGGACCTGACATCGACGTGTCCAGCGAGTGCTATCAATGGAGGCAAAGGTTCAAAGTGCGATAATGACACAGCGAGGCACTTCTTGTTGTTTCTCAAGCATGTGCTATGTCATTATGTGTCATGCCGCAGGTTCCTGCGACAAACTTACAATATGAATTACTGAACTGACCGTCGTAGCTTCTTGTTCCGTTCGTAGCCAAACACTCCATGGGACTGCCATATATGCCGCCCCGTTGACCCCCCCTGGCACCATCCCTGGCCTGATCGGTAAACATACCAGTCCCATGGGTCGTGTCTGGGGTAGCTGTAGCTTCTCTTGGGACAAGCGAGGTGGTCGCTTTGAGGCCCCGAAGTCGGCCAAAAGCACCCCAAAAGCACTCACCGGTTCCGAGGGGAGGTGACTTCCGCCCGGGGTGGTTCACCCGTGATTCGGTGGAGGAGTGCCTGCAGCTGCAGGCTGTCTTTGAGCATAGCGCCAGACCTGCCCCAGCGACCAAGCCGTTGAAAGGTCAGTCAAGGGGGCCCAAAGCTACCGAATTCGGGCGCAACGTCTCTTGTCGTAATTGCAGGGTCTTAGCAAATATGCACTATAGGAGTCCAAGCGTGCTTTTCATACCTGCAAAGAAACAGGACTGTCAACCTGCAAAGTCAGAAAGCAAGACTCGGCCTGCTCACCTTTCAGCCACGTCCTGTGTCTCACTGCTTTCTACACATCTTCACCCACCGTCTCGGCGGATCAGGTTCGTCCCTTCGACTGTTCCGAACCGTTCTCGTCCCGCCCAACATGCCCGAGACTTGGCCCAACTGCTGGAGGGTCGCAAGTCGGGGTGCCCAACTACCCCGACAAGGGACTTCCGGAAGAGATCTGACATCCAGCTTCGCAGCAGTGGGAAACCCCCAGATCTGCTTAAGAGACCCCTTTCAAATAGTCTTTCAGTGCTGGTGGCCGCTCAGTGGCTATACCAGTGTGGGTTCCCACGCGAACCGCGGAGGAAAGGCCACGCCGAGGGGGCCGACGGATCGCCCGCCTGCCGAAGCCACCAGCGAGCTTCTGCTCCATCCTGAAGCAGAGGGAGCAGGAGCTCAAGCAGGTTCCAGAGGCGTGCTGGACGTAAATGTCAATCCTTCAAATGCTGCTGGCTTCTTGGAATCAACAAAACGCCTGGCAGTAGCCAAGGATCATCCATGAAAACGATCGGAAATCCGAGGTATGCTCCAAACCTCGTGACCCGGCCCCCAATCTGGGATGTGCTGAGGGAACCGGCTCTTTTGGAAGGGTGGATTCACCATGATTCACCCCAAAACATCCACCCCCAAGCATCTTCTCAGGAGGTCGTTGGAGCTCATCAACCGCAAATCATCGGATCAGCCAAACAAAAATCACCTCGCCCTGGGCCCCCCTGGGCCACCCTGGGCCCCCCTGGGCCAACCCCTCAAGCCACCCTGGGCCGCCTGCTGACGGACGTCTTTGGCCCGTTCCTGGGGATTTGGCCGGGGATCCTTTCTTTGGCGCGTGCCTTCGGAGAGGTTTGGTGCCTCTGTTTCAAAGGCATTCAGAAACCGGTTAGGCCTCCCTTAGGCAAGCAGGGATCTTGCTTGAATCGACACAGGCAGAAACTCACTCCGAAGACCCGTGGGGGGGAGTTGTACCACTACACTTCGGCTCGGAAGTGGAAAACCCCTGGGGTAGTAAAGGAAAGTCGTCTTCCAAGGGGCCATACCACCCACTTCCATGTGATGTGTTTGTCAGAGTGCAGCTTCTTCCATCTTTCTCCTGCCATTCACATGCGGACGCAGCCAACTGCCACATGTTTCGAACCGCCCCGCCACAGCCGCCGCGGCCCCAGCCTTCGGCAACGCAGCCATTCCCGGAGTCCGGCCTTCGTTGGGAACGAAGCGCTTCCGGCGCATCCAGAGCCAACAAATGAGTTTCCGTTATTGAGCATGGCTGGAACGGCCTAGAAAGAGCCACCAGCTACCTATGTAAGCCTTCCCAACAGAAATTGCCAATTGCTCCTTGAAAACCCGGCGTCCAAAGGTTTGCGCACCGAGAGCGAGAGAGAGAGAGAGAGAGAGAGATTGCTGGCATCTGCTTGTACACCTCATGTCTTTCAACGGATCTCCTCTTTCACACCTACGCGCCCCCACAGGTTCCCGCCGCACGGCTTCTCTCCCCCCGCGGGCGGCTAACCCGCCAGGCGTCCCGACCAAGGCTGAGACTCTCCGCACTGCCAAGGCTTCGCGCACCTCGGCGTTTGGGACGGACTGAGACCCGAGCGATCCAAGAGGATGGAGGAGATTCAGCTGCGTAGGGTTTCACAGCCAGACCCCTCAAAGAGAAATTAACAACGAAACCGAACCAAATAGCAGCCAGGCAGCCCAAAACAAGACCAACCCCAACATCCCCAACTAGCCGCAGCCTTACTCCCCCCTTGCCCCACGCCCGGGAGAGAAAAACCAAACGCCATGATCACACAAACAAACAAACAAACAAAACAAACAAACAAACAACCAACCAACCAAGCAAGCAAGCAAACAAACAAACAAGTGGGGAGACCGAGGAGACCAGGCAGCAGCGGCAACAGCGGTGGACCAAAACGCCGATCCGCCACCCAGTGCCACCCAGCCATTGCGAAGGCAAGAATCCCTACACCTAGAGAATGAATGGAAACACGTGCTACGTACATGTCTACGTACTTGGCCAAGTATTGAATACGATATTGTGAGTACACGAGCTCGGGATTCGGTATTTTAGCTTCCACCAATCCTCGGACACCCCGGGCCCCGAAGGTCGCTTTCGGTCCCCCAGCCGCTCGGGGGGTCCACGGTGTCGGCGCCAAGTCGAGGCCGCAAAGCCACACGACCAGGCCTCGGTTAAGCGTCGGTCGTGAAGGCTTCGACCAGGAGGAAAGGAAAAAAGCCATCGACCATCTGAGCCCTCCCACAACCATCGTCCAAAGGTTGAATCGCAAAGCCTGGACAAATGAGGAAGCTTCCTCCTCCCTATGTTCTAGCCAAATGAGTGGAAGCATGGGGCATCACATTCACCGTTGACGAAACTCCATGCGTGGCTGGAGCATCCTCCACACCAAGCACGTCTGATCAAAAAGCCCCGAGCTGGGCGTTTTTCATGGCATTATGACTGTGGGTCATGTCACTCGGGCGCCGACCGCTTGACCATGAACAGAATGGCCGAATGACGACCACCGAAGAGCTACAGCTTTTTGGGGACCCGTGGCTTCGTCCGCGGGGACGCCTTCGAAGCTGGTGATCTCGCCCTCGGACCTCGGCTCCGCGGGTCTGCCAAGCAGAAGGCGGGCGAAACCCACCAGAGAGGGGGCGGAACTCCGGGCGGAACTCCGAAGCGCGGCGAGGTTCGGAACGGAGACATGGAGCGGAACAGGTCCAACTCGTGATCATGTCTTGGTCTTGTTCCATCTTAGCTGATTCCGAACGCAGACATGGAGCGCGGATTCGTGCCCAAGCACCAAATTTGCGCCATTATGGGCAGGTCTATACTTTTGCCCAGCAGCTTGAGGAAACCCACGTCCTGATTCAAGTGTGAAATGGCGGTGGCACTCACTACTTTTCTTTGTTGGAAATGGCGCCGTCGCTTAGGGAACATCACGACCGCCTCCGAATGCGCGCCAAGGATCTCCTCCACACACAGAAGCAGCCGTGCGCCATCACTACGCGCCCACCTGGGAAGCGACTCAAGCGACTCTTGTTTTGGGTGGACAGCCCATGGCGTTTGCTTCGCTGATGTTCCACCGGTCTTCAGGTCGACCACGGGACCGGTCGACCCGGGCCTTCTGCGCAACTCGCAGCTGAAGTGGCATCCTGCAGGTGAAAGACCCTCGACGTGACGCGGGGTCCGCTGTACGTAGCTTGGGCACGTACTTCGTTGGGTCATCCAAGCCGGCGAGACCGACTGAATGCGGAATGCAGTGGGAATCTGTGGGATTTGAAGAGTAGATGGTCCAAACCCCATTTAGACATATATAGACCACCCTAGACTTGTGGGATGGAGGGTCAAGGAGCAGGAGCACGGCTTAGGAGGCTAAAGGTCACTGTGCCATCTACTCTGAGGTCACTGTGCCTGATCCCTGTTTTTGACACCCAAACATGTCCCACATCTCGCCTGGTATTCCAGTGCGACACCTCAGCCGCAGCACCTCGACACGGTCCGTGTGGCGCGTTTTTCGGGGTTGGGGGTTTGGACCCAGCGACTTCCCAGTTCTGCCCAAGAACCCTCCAACTCAAAAGGGGTCTGAGTTGGAATCCCAGAATCCCAGCATGAAATATGGATGCCCTGATCCAACTTCATGATACGTGCTCGAGCTATCTCGAGCTACCAGATGCTACCAGTAAGACCGATCTGTTGAGTCTGAAATCCTCCCACCAGGCACCCTGGCCCGGAAGACTCAGCTTTTGGGGATCAACCGCCTGCCGTCAACGATTGGACACCAACAGGAACCCGCCGACTGGACCTCATCTCGTCCCGGCTGCAACCTCGGCGGCGGGGCGGCATGGCGATCAGAAAGGAGGGGCCTTGGGGAAGCGTCCCAAGACAAAGACCGTTTGGGCTCTATGTCTGATGTCTGGGAAGCTGGAGAACGACCTTCTTGACGAGGGCAAGTGCCAGCTCAAACATCTCAAACCCAGAATATGGCAGCCCATGGTCAGTGCACAAAAGCCACAAATAAGCGAATACTTGCAAATGGTCCAAGGATGTACCCCATCAAAACGAGCCAGGCCCTGGCGCATGCTACCCTGCCTGCAGGGTAGCTTGCGCCATCCTCAAACCGGTCTCTTCTTGCGATCGCAGATCCACCAGAAAGCCCGAAGGACTCCTCCGAGACCTGTGTCACCGATTCGGGCGCCCCGCTCAGCCGGGGTCGCCCGCCCGACGAAGCGACGCTACACTGAACACCGCGGCCCAGGCACGAGAGGGGCAACGACTCCAGGTGGTCTGGCTGCCAGTCTCGGAATCTCCAGTGCTCCATCAAGGCCTCGAACTCCGACGCTCCGAGGAGCGAAGCACCCCAGTCCCAGCATGTGTGGTTTGGTTTGGTGTGTGTGTGTGTGTTCTTCCGGGCTGGAGATCGTTTGTTCGGGGGGTGGGAGGGTGGAGGGTTCTTGGTGCTTAGCGTGGTCTTGTTGACGACCTGCCAGATGATTTTTGGATGAGAGCAAAGCTCAAGGAGCTCCCCCTAGACATGGACATCTTGGAAACCAGCAGCCTGCCGAAGCGAACTTCCAAATGCCCTCTCTCTGCCAGGGCTTGGTCCTTTTGCGGACGGTCAGTGTCATAGTCACTCTTCGCCACCACGGACCCGACGCTTGGTGTCTTCCGTTCGATGGCACCGACCCGGTGTCCTCATTGTCCGACGTACAAACCGTTACTTGGGGGCCCCGAAAACGTGCCATCAAACCATCCTATAACCATGGTAATGAATACCACTCCGTCAAGCTATCAACTCCCACGTCTTTTGTCCGGTCCGAAGAAGGCAATCGAGCTTGCTGCACCTGAAGGTGCAAGGAACCGCTAGCTGCCGTTCACAGGAGATCGGCATGGATCTTGGCATAAGTCATACCTTCACCCATCGAGCATAAGTCGTGTTCAAATCGAATTTCCACCACTGAACTACCACCTCACCATCAGAACAGGAAGACTCCACTACAAAACCCCTCTTGATCCAATGGTTTCAGTCTAACTACATGTGTCCTGATTCCTGGTCCTCAGCACCATGTTCCAATCCACTCCCCACTCGGCAGGACCGTGAAAACCAGATGATCTCAGATCCTCTTCGCACCGCGAAGGAAGGACTCGCGGGCCAGCGGGTGTCTTCGTTCGGTTCCGTGCCGCCCCGGCACCCCTTAACAGACAAGGTCTTAATTAGACGGGGGGGCTCCATATCAACATGCATATAAATCATATACCAGCACCGAACCCAACAGGTCGAAATGGAGGGTTGGGAAGGGCCCGTCACAGGTTTCAATTGGTGACCTGTTGGAGGTGCTGGTATGAATCACCGCACTCAGGGGTAACTGGTGCCATCATCTATACTCTTCAATCCTCTGTCAAAACCTCCGCGCAGCACCGTCGGAGGGCCTCCTTGACCTCCTCCACCGGCACGTTCACACAGGCCGCTGCCGCCACCACTGGGACCCCTTCCGGCGGAAAAAGGTGGTTTCAAATGGGGAAACACCCCGAACTTGATGTGACCATCTGGCAGGAGCTGAAGAGAATCGAGTACCCAACTGCAAGTTGGTGCAGTTTTGCCCGGCCACCTCCCCTCCCCCACGCAAAAAAAGGATGTCAAAACAAGAAAACAAATCATGCCAGGGTGGAGGCGGCTTCTTTTTCTCGCGCCAAATGGTTTTAAAAACCTCCTCCCATCCAGCGAAACAGGAGCGGCCGCCACATCCGATTCGCCCCGCAGCGACCGAGAAAGTTTCGAACGAGCACGAGCTTTTTAGCTCTTTCGAAGGAGCACGAGTGAAAAAGGATGGGAGAGGGAAAAATGGAACAGCTCAAGTCCCAGTCCCCGCACACCAAAAGGATGGTTTCATCTATTTTCCATCGTTCAGAACAACCCTTGCGGGTGGTGCTGGTCTTCCAACAGGTTTTCGATGCTTGCTTGGTACCATTTGGTACGGCACTCTCTCACCCAAATCTCGCCAGATCAGCCTCTGGCTATGAAGCACAGGCTCGCTGCTCCTGCCAGCAACAAGGCTGCCTCGGCGACGATCGAAAGGGCGAGGGGGGCTAAGAGGTCTAACGCCAGGAGCATCCTGCATTTGCTTGAGGCTTGAGGAACCGGGAAAACATGATCAAAGTGCATTATTTCCTAGAAGGTGCTTCATCCATAAGGGGAATAAAAGTCACCCTTAAGCAAGACCAAGTTATAGATACCAGTACCAGCCTGCACATCTTTTACTCGTGCTGGGCTATGACACGCTGCGACGACACTCAGCGATGCGACCAGAGAGGAGTCTCGAGACCAAAGCGATGGAAGCACAAGATTCAACCCCCCAGCAGGTTCCAAAAGGAATGGTTTTAAGTCCTTCAGCGAGCCCCCTAAGGATCCAGTCGTACCTCCTCAGGTACGGTGATTGTTCGACGCTCTTATGTGAGTTTTGAGGGTCCAATCACCGTACCTGAGAAGGTACGACTGGATCCCTAAGTGAGTGAAAACACAAACAAAACCCAAAAGGCCGTGTTTCAGCGGAGGCACGATTCCAGCGCTGATCGGGTCTGCCATGCTCCAGGCCTCCCCACCGACACGTACCAGGCCGCCCAAAGGCTGCCTAGGCCTAGCCTGTGGCACAGGCGAGCCAAGCGGTTCCGTGTGTCCTCTCCTGTGTGCAGGCCCACTTTTTGGCAGCCAGCAATGAGGTGGGATTCGTTCGATCTATATTGGACGTTCGATCGCGCTTGCCAGGTGTTGTGTGCATGTTTGGAGTATCGAAGGTCATCCAGCCCGTCATGGTTCGGGTGAGGAGTCCAAGGCAGGAAGGCAGGGAGGTGTCCTGAAAAGGATGCAGTCGCCTAGCTGGCACGGCTACAGGACTGCGACGGTGCGACGGAAGGAACATCACAGGAGTTAGATGATGATCCCCACTGCCCCATGGATGGTTCCGGAAGGAGTTGGAACCAATGGTCTTGACCCCATGGATGGCTCCGCAGGATCTCATGCCCCCCCTGGCATGGCGCGGAGGCCGCGCCGGACATCCGGCGCAAACTCTTGGTTCGGCTCAAGCGTGCCAAGGGTGGCATGGCCAGCAGGAGCAGAAAGAAGAGGTCCTAAGCGGATTGGACAGATGACAGATGACCGAAGAGGCTGGTGTTCATGTCTGAAAGCCTTCGAGGTCGGTTCCGGCGCCTGAAATTCCCTACTGTGGGGCCGCTCAGTGATTGAATGGCAAACGAACTGAAGGCCACCTATGGCGTGTGGTCCAACTACTGACTTCATAGATTCCACTGCCTCCGCCAAAGCCAGAACCTTCCACAGGCCTACCCAGGTCAGTGAGGAAAACTCATGGTAGATGAGATGTTCAGAACCCGTTCAGCCCAGTTCAAAACGAATCAGATGAGTTCAAAACGAGTCTTTCCTGCTCGCAACTTCAGCACAAAACCCGTTCATTACCTGAGGAGGGCATGATAAATCAACAACCCCCCCCCCCCATCCCCCCATAAACTCACCCCCGCCCACCCTGCCTTCCAGGTTCTTCGCAAAAGCTCTTCAGAATCTGGCGCGGCCGATTCCAAATGGAATCCCAAAACCACAGGTTTTTTGTGGTCCAGTCGCAAAGACAAACCCTGAGTCTATCAACCCAACATCCAGCATGCACAAATGATATGCTTCTTCTGCGTCCAGACATGAGGCAGGTCCAGGTTCCAAAGACATCATCTAAAGGGCCCAAAAGATCCCCAGAGCTTGAAGCCATGAGGTCCTCACCCAACCCTATAAGAGCTGGAAGTTGGGCGCTTGCCCAAAACACTGCTGGCTAAACCGGGCGACAGGAGTGCCCTCCAGCTGCCCAACAGCCATTTGGGAGTGCATTGTCATAGGGAGACACAGAAGCCAATGGTTAGACTGATCTATTTGGCTTCTTAGACCCATGGGTCGTTGCCAGACTATGGTTAACCAGTGGGTCGTTGCCACGGTCGTTGCCATGGTCGTTTGGTTGCTCGTTTGGTCGTTGCTACCTAAACCATTCCCGGTCTCGTCACCTGGAGCTTCCAGAATCCGCAGCCCCTGCCGCAGCTCCCGCCTGAAAAACCGAGCGGGAACGGCGCCGCGGAACGGACGCGTGCGTGTTCGTGAACGGTGCCACGGCGCTGGATGGTGCAGCTTCTTCCACACTATCGAAGTATACGACCAGCACCCGAATTGCGGTGGTTGATTGAATGGAAAATGGATGAACATAGATAGTCAGCTGCTTGGCTGAGGTTCGTTTTGCTCCAGTGCACACTGCACTTCGTCTCCATGATCTGAAGACTTGACGTACAGGTGGGGCAGTCTTGAAGCCCCTCACTCTGCACCTCACTCTGCTTTCACTTGTTCTGACCAGCTTGATTCAGCTTGATTCGCACATCCGCATGAGATCGCCAGACTCCGCCCCAAATCCGGTCCCCCGACCACTCGAACTCCTCCGGGCCATCCGGCAGAGCGCCACGATGCTCCAGCAGCTGCACCAACACCTGGCTCCAAACATCCGTGCCCTTCGAGACGCGGTCCCCTGATGAAGCTTCTTTCCCAGTCGGTTGAAGCTTTTTACCCCAAAGACTCGGAGGACGGTGAAGTTCTCGGGTGGGAACGTCCCCTCCACTTGGAGGGACTGCGGAGCAGCAGTTGTACCGAGAGCATGGCCGGAAGTGGAGGCCCTGAGATCACGTTCGCGTGTTTTTTCTCACATTGGGACCACCCTGGGATTGCCCAAACCCAGAAGTCTCAATGTTTCAAACTTTTCAGGGCAGCATTCAAGATCAGTTGACAACAGCCGTCTGAGCCTGGGTCCTTCATTAGCAGGAGGTCACCCTCACCTGTATCATCCTGTATCCAAGCTCATGTGACTCCCAATCGCGCTGCCTGGCTACAATGCTTCATCTTCGCCTCCTGCCAAGTCTGAGCCGCCGGCACAGCCAGCGGAAGCTCCTCATGTGACAGCGAAGTCGAAGATGCGCTGGAATTCCCATACAAAATGATGTTAGGCTCATTTAAGTTCTATATATATGATGTATGTATGATCATGATTGATCATGTATGTAATTATCAAAGATGTGGCTAAACATTCCCAAACAGCTTACTAACAGTCTTATGCTCCAAGAATCTATGTCTGAAACATGCACGACATGGAGTCGGCGAGCCCGCCACTGGTGAAACTCAAAGAACTTATTGGACCAAGTGAAACTTGTGGATGTGGCTAACAGTTTCACTTGGGTAATAGTTCACCACCAGTCACCCTCCTACTCCACTACTTCGCATGAGAATCTCGAGGTGTGTTCGTGCACAGACAAAAGACGAGTCTCGAGCAGTTCGCATCAGGTGCTGGAACCAAGAAAACACAGAATCAATGCTGTTGACAAGTTTTTAGACTCTTGATGTTTTTGGACTCAACAACATCAGTGTATGCCCACAACAATTCTTCACCAGTCAGAGGGGTGTGCAGGAGATCCTGGGTCGCAGTGCAGGGTCGTCCAGCGACACCAAACAGGATCATGGCTAGTTGACCTGACTCCAAGTTACCAAACACCAATAACTGACGTTTGCTCTTTGTTGCTCGTTCCCGGTTCCCTATATAATTGGAGCCACAAAGGATGGAGCCATCCTCGGGCCCCGGACCGAAGCCAGGATCTGGCAGCGCCTGAGGTCCGGGCTCCGTTGGATCCTTCCGGTCTTCCCAAGTACTTCGCACGTGACACAATGACACATGATGGAAGAGGGCATCACCATCCCCTCTCTCAAGTTCGTGGAAGAATGGAGCGGTCAGCGACAAGTACTACATGCGGCTACACCTGGCTACACCTGCTTCAAAGTGACTTTTTGGAGTCCCTAAGTGACCTTTTCCATGCCTTAGCGACCTTAAACCCCAGGGCATCAAAAAGGTCACTTTGAAGAACCAGGTGCACGACTTTTGGCCCATCGATTCATCAACCAACCAAGGCCGTAAGTCGGCCCATCTGTGGTGCCTCTACGATTCAGAAGCCTACAATGATCCATCCAGTGACTGGCACAGCATTGGGGGGAAGCCCTGTTCGGGATGGTCCAAGCTGAAATGATGTCTTGACAGAGTCCTGTCACAGGGCCTTTGGGGGGTTCTCTCCCAAAACGGGACCAAGTCAGTGTTCTATCATCATCCATATTGACACCCCAAAAAATGGAGCCGGACGGAAACAACTCTCCTTTCACCCCCTTCCGGTACTTTCGCTCGCGCGCCCAGAAGCGCCCCCATCGCCGGGCCTGGCGGAGCTCGGCGTCGGGATCTCCACCCGAGGCGGGCTCCCCAGCTTGCTGGCCGCCTGGTGAATCGCGGTAGTACGACCCATCTTCTCCGATTCGCCGTCGAGGTTCGAGGTTTGTGGGTCTTGGCTGTGGGAGGGTGTGCGCCCATGATCATGCCGAAGCCACGGAGGAGAAGCGCCCGCGGCGACATGTGGTGCCTGAATTCGCTCCATCCATTCAGAGGCCTCCTGCTCACTACAGCCCGACAGGCAGTAAGAACGGCTGCCACCTGGGCGGCAGGAGTTCAAAAACAACCACCTCCCAACAAAAAACAGCAAGGTGTTCACCCTATAAACCTATACCCTAGAAGTCCAAAGACTATACTTTTCGATAGTGAAGTAAAGGAAAATCCCTTTCAGGTACCCTAAAAACCATTCTTTTTATAGTCTTTGACTCCCAGGGTCGCTGACACGCTACCATAAAACCATCGTTCCACGTTCAACGATTCATCGATGACGCCGCCACGAGAGGCCGTCGTCACCGCGATTCGGGATGCTACCATCAGCACAACCATTCCACAACATCCCACAAACCCATTCCGACATCAGCCAGCACTAAGAGCCTCCCACACTTTCTAAGAAACCACCTCACCTCAAGGTGATATTTAATGATCTTTATTTACCTGCCATTTGGCATCCGTCCGAAGCTCTCCCCTCAGAGATCCCGGGCTCTTGCTCACCGCAAAGGTAAACGGACGGCTCTGATCCTTCAGCCATTCCACAGTGACACCACCTGAGCGTCCGAGTCCCGCGCCAACCGGCACCAGGCGACGTCGCCGCTCGGCTGCAGGCGCAAAACGCGCAAAGAGGGAGAAAAAAAGAACAACAGCTTCAGCAGGATTTGCTGCGCCAGCTAGAGAGAGAGAGAGAGAGGGAGAGAGAGACTGAGACTCGCAAAAGTGCTTCGGAGCACCGTTTTTTTCAGAACTCCCACCCTCCCCGTTCGATCCTGGATGGCCTTGAGGGGCCGCCCGTTCGAACTTGGCCAACGAGGCGCTCAAGTGGATGGCGTCGCGGGGTCGAGCTTCGTGCTGCGAACGGTAGTACTGCAAGGTCTGCCCTGGGTGTTCGACGGACACGGCGAGGGTGGGAGTGAGATCCCTTTCAAAAATCCTAGGGATAGAGGGAACAAGGCTTTTGGGGTTAGGAGACGGTAGAAATCCATTTACTTTCAAATGTGGATTTTCTTTGGCCCACTGCTGTCAGCGAATCTAGGTGAAAACAATATAGAAGCCAAGACTCTAGAGATACACCGGGGTAGAAAAATGATGAAAATGAGACTCGCAAATGGTGATGACTCCTCGAATGTCGAGTTAGACTGACTGCTGGCCCCATCTAACCTAGAATTATGACTCATGATGTAGCTCCAGCCGCCAACCAATGGAGACAAGGCATGATGGTGTTTGAACCTACGGAACCTACATGGTGCCCACACACATGATTCAACCCAAGCTCTGTTGTACCCAAGCTCGCTCTGGGCCCGATAACAGGATGCCCATGGATGCTCCATTCAGATGGTGCATCGATAGGCATCGTGTGACGTGTAGGTTGGGGAAACATCCCTGGCCATTCACAAATAAAGCACCGAACTCGCGACAGCCAAACGCCACGGCCACAGAACTCCGCCACGAGTCGGGCTTCTCCCGGAGTCCGTCCAGACCGTGGGTTTTTTTTCCAAGCCGGTCCTGGCTCCACGACCGGGACCTTTGCATACCGCACAACGAGCTGCTCGGGTGGAAAAAAACGGTGGGTCATCTCGATTCACACAGGGCTCACCTGGATGCATCCCGGAATCCTCCCAAGTTGTACCCCCCATACCCAGCCCAGGTCCCGCGACCGGCCCACCGGGGGCCAGCCCGTCGAACGAGGGGCCAATGAGCAAGAAGTAGCGGAGGTTCCAGGTGTTGTTCAAGATCCCATCACCTCGGCCACGCATCCGGCGGATGGAAAGAACGACCGTCATGACCCTCATGACCTCTTTTGAAAATCCATCCGCTGAGCTCGGTCGAGCTCATCGAGCTGGATGACAGTCCCTGATTCTCCGGTATTGGCTACCAGCGGAGAATCAGACTTTGAATCTAACAAGAAGCTACTAGGTTGGAGGTTGGAGGGCCATTACTGCTAGTAACTAAGAAGATCCCAGATCCCAGTAGCAATGTTTCCAGAGCAGTTGGACGCTCGACCACGCTTGACACGTCTTCGTTTCGGGCCCCGACCGCGTCTTCGCGAGTTCGACCACACCGAGCGCCGAAAGCGGCCGACCGGAACGGTCCGGCGGAGATGCTCCACCTGCCGTTTACGGCTCTTGACTCGCACCAACTCCCCCATACCCAGACACGACCCATGGGACTGCCAGAAATGCCGATCAGTTGGGGTGGTGCCAGAGGGGTCAATGTAGGCATATATGGCAGGTCTGGGATATGAAGTCCAGGGGTTCGATTGATCCTGATCAAATCGTCTATACCTTCCTCATCATCGCCAAGCATGAACCGACTGGACGATCCAGGCCTCCAGTGTCCCCGGAACATCCCTTGGCTTCCTCTTCGAGGCTTCTCCGTCCGGAGCGTCGACTTCCTCCAGACGGGCGAAGTGCCCAAAAAGCGCCGGGAGTGGGCACATTCTTTTGTGACAGGTGCCTCCTTCAGCTTCGAGCTTCGAGCGCCGCAGGACGAGCTGCACTTAGACACACCGGTGACGCATCTCGGAGCCAAAAGGCGGTGGCCCCGAGCGCCACCAGCCACGCACCAAGCTCCATGCGGCCTTGGGCCCGGTCTGCTTCAGCCGCTGAGAGTGTTGCAACGGTCGATCTTGCCGAGCTGCGCCATTCCGTTGCCCTGTGCAGCGGCATCAGTGCAGTCTCCAGGCATCATTCGTGCAGTCTCCTCTGTTTTGGCCCTGCAAGAGTCTGCAAGGGTGTAGGCTTCTTTAGGATGGTCAGGTTCATGAGTAGCGTCGCTTCAGCCATGATCCAAGTTCTCAGGGTTGTTGGGGTTCAAAAAGGGGCCACTACTATATATTGCGCAAAAACCCTTCGCCCAAAACCGAGGCATGGCGGAGTTTTCTAAAGATCGGATTGGGGTCGAGGCCATGGCCCCATGGCGCGGGGGTCCGGGATGGTGGGCTTCCCGGCCCAGCTTGTAGAGGAAGCCGTTGTGGAAGGGCATGCCCTTCGAGAGGGAGGGCTGAAGGAGCACCTGCACAGAGAGGAGAGAGGCCTGTGGAGGATCGAGCGACGCCCCTACCCTCCTTTGAGACCGAGCACCCATCATCAAAAATACCATCTTGGTCTTACATGACATGAAGTCTTACATGAAGTCTATCAGGATGTCCAAAACTAGCAACATCTAGTAACCATAGCCTCACGTCTCTTGCCCCGCGCACCGGACACGGAACGCCGGACACGGAACACCTCTGGATCGATGCTGGGCGTGGCGGGCGTGCCGGGCCCCTCGTCCTCCAGGTCCGTGTTGATGGTCCTTGGAGTGGCCGGTGAGCTCGCGGTGGACCCCCTCGTGGTGGACCCCAGCCAGCACGAAAACAGGGCATCCAGGAGTCATAGGGCTGGCTTTGGGGTCCCTATAGGTAAGTGGATGTTCTTGGGGACCCCTATCCTCCAAGCTTGGCACCCCTTGGTGACTCCTGGATGACGGGTGTTTCTGGAACAACTCTTCCCGACTAAGCGATGGAAGACATGTCCAAAGCAAAACCGACACCTAGATTCTAGATCCTACCGTTTCCTCCAACCAGCGTCGACCAGTCGACACGCCGGGCAAAAACCACACACCAACACAGTGTGTTTGTCCAGTGGTCAGATGAGTTCTCTGCACTTCGCGCGACATTGACCACTTTCAGCTATCAGATCAACACAGGTCAGATTGAGCCGGTCAGCCGGCTCCACGATGGCATGATGTCAACAATTGCAGGGGTGGCCAGTTCGAGTGCACCAGTGACCCATCGCGATTCGGTTCCGGTTCTCGGGCCAAAAGATGGGCATCCAACTCGCACACGGTGCGGCGGTATACATCCGTGGCCGCGGTGATATGTTCTTCGAAGGCGTTGGCCTAAGAAACGAAGATCACGAAGGTTGGACAAGTGCCTGAGATTGGTGGGATGCTTTTTTGTCCAAGGTTTGCCATCCCAGCACCATGTAACAGTCCAATTGTCCGCTTTGGTCAGGTTCCGGGCCTTTCCATCTCAAAAAGAGAGATCATCTTCCAGCACCCTCCAACAGGTCTCCTTTGGAGGGTTGTAAGGCCCTGTTGGAGGTCTCAACTGGTGACCTGTAGAGTCGGGTGCTGGTTTGAATTGACTGTTGTCCGGGTCATGGGACACACCCTAGGTTTGCCTCAGAATCTCTCTTCAGGGCCTCCCGGGTCTCCACCTCCCCACCTCCCGAGACCAAACCAAGCCGCAAGCCGCCCGAGCCTCCTTGCCCCGGGCGTGACGCTCCGATCCGGGTGAAAGGTCTGGGTTGGGCATTGGCACTTCTTGGACCATTCCAGAAAAAGAATCACAAAGGCCTCAAACAGAAAAGAAGTACTGCAAACGGTGGATGAATCAAGCCGTCCATGTGAAGATGGTTTGCTGATCAATTAGAACACTCCGCCTCTAATGCATTCGACCACCGATTCAACCGGTGGGGACGGCACGAAATCTCTACTCCGGCCTGACCGAGGATTGGAGGGGTCTATCTAAACGAGAGTGGGCTGAGTAGATGGAACAATTCACAAGTTACCCCTAAGTTTGGCAGTATGATGCAAGAATGACCTCCTTGGAGTGCGAGTGCACTCTGCACTCGCGTGGGCGTTTGAATCAGACCTCCCCAGTCTCCTGGATGGTCCAACAACCAACAGCGGGGGTTTGCCGAATGCTGCCCCCTGTACCCCCTTCCATCCCCTAGGCCCTAGCCATCATCCCATGAACTTTTTTAACAGAATTCAAGGAACAGAAAATGAACACCGAAAAACAGTCCACAGAATCGCAGCTCCAACAGTAATTAGACGGGCTCATTTAAAGGAGTTGTGAAACCGGAGGCTGGAGGGTTGATTGATCACCCAGTCATACATACCATGAAACCAGCTGACCAGTCTGGTGTCGGCTCGCCTGCGCAGTCCCAGAAGAGGCCTCCAGCGCCTCAGGGGGTCTTCCGGATATTTCGGAGTGTTTTTTATAACAAAGTTCCTACGTAATGGACTCTTTGGCATCATATATTGGAAGAGCTACTGCCATCACACCTGACTTGGATCCGCGCTGGCCCCTTCGGTGCACATACGAAATCAGGGTTCGATGCCCAGGTGGAGTCTCAAGCATGCTCAGAGTGCAGCATGGAGTGGAAACGGTGGAACGCACCCACCAGACGGTCCCAGTGGCATTCAGTGTTCCGTTTTCGGGTGCATGAACATGGCGAACCTCATCAGGCTGATCGTCACAGTCGGGAATCGTCACGACACCTCCGGTGAACAGAATAACGAAAAAAACACAGGCAGCAGCTGGCTGCCAGTCGCGAAAAATTGAAAACCCATGAACATCCTCCTAATAATTCCTAATAGGATGTAAATGGCCTTCCCCCCAAAAAGAGAATTGCGATCCAAGAATATCTCCAAAAAGACCTTGAACGCGCTTGAACTCTTCTTCCGCTGCGCCGACCGGGTCGAGCCCACCACCCAACGCCCGCCTCCGCCTGTCCGACTCACCGTACGGCCGCCTGATCCGCGTTCCGACGCCGTCGTTCCGATTCGTCGGGCGTCGCGCAGGGGCTCCGAAGACTCGTCTGCGTGAGCGAAAGGAGTCCCGAACAGGTCGACCGTTTCGTCCAAACATCGGTTTCGATTCGTGCCCAAAGGTCCCGGAGGAAAAAGGGTTCCAAGAGGTTCAAGAGGTTCAGGGGGAAATGGCTTTGAAAAGCTATTGCTTAAGATCCGGCTCTATGTCTTTTGAAAAACTGAACCTCTTAGCAAGTGAGTTTGAAAAGCCTGCGACTTGGCCCTCGACGGTGCAAGTGAAAGACCCTTCCGCCCCGATTTCCCATCAAGCGCCATCGATTTCCCAAATGTCCTGCGTCACATCCACTCGCCTCTCCTGGCGTCCTGCGGGGCAAACATGAACCATCCAGTGCGGCCGAGGCCATCTGCTAGGTGGAGGCCATCGCTATTAGGTTGGAGGCCATCGCTAAATAGCTATACTATATAGCTACTCGTAGTGTCTTGTTACTAGGAGCGATGGCTTCCAACCTAATAGCGGTGGCCTCCACCTAGCGCTACTAGAACCATCCAGCGCGGCCTTCCCATCTCCCTCAAGAGTGCACCTGCGGCAGCCTGGCAGCCTGTTGCGCCTCTTGCACCTCTTCCTCTACGTCTTGCGGTGTGGAAAGCTCGGCTGGTTTAGTTTGGTTCTTCCGACTTCCTCGGAGTGCCCGCAGGGACGCGACCGGGTGCCAACGTGCCACGATCCTACGGGTGGCGCAGTGGTGGGAACCGGCCATGTGGGAGACCCATAGGCCACGAGGTGGACCAGAAGTGCATCATTCGTCCCGCAGGGTAATCCTTGGGCCCCAAAGCTTGCCTAACAAGCACGGACCTCGAAAAGCATGCAGGTTCATGTGACCCATGTTCCTTCAACCCCTTGCAATAAGAACAGCCCTCTTGAAGATGCTTCAACAAATGAGAACCTGAGATATGGCCGGACAAAGCCAAAGATCCACTGACCTGAAAGCGAAAGTGTTCACCAGATCCAGCATCCCCTGACAGCAGCTCCTGATCATTGGAGACTCCTTGTGTTGAGCCTCCCGGTTGCTGGAAGCAAGGAGCTGACTGGCGAAGTGGAGAGGATGTTGGTAGACCAACAGGCATTCGTTCTGGTGGGGGGCTTCTCTCTATCTGCATGCTCTTATCTAGTGCCGGTCGAACTATCTAGACATCATATATCGTATCCTGTCATATTAATATCCTATATATATATATTGATGACTATATATATATATATATATTGTATCTCTATCTGATCTGATCTGGTGCCGCATCCATCCATCTTCCCTATCTGACTCTCCCTCTCGGCCCCTCTCTGCTGCTATCGCCCTCCCCAACCCCCTCGCCGGCCCCGCCCAGGTGTCGGGACGACAGACTCTTCGGACTCTGGTCGTTCACAGTTCACCGGGTTAAGTTGGTTTCTTTGGGGAGGCGCTGTCAGCATCTTCGACGTGCGCCTGGCCATGGCGCTTGAGCAGCTTGCGGGAGACCTCCAGGACATTGGAAGAGATCCGGGAGCTCAGCAGCGGCAGGAAAGGCCTCGTCCAAACTGAAGGTTGCAAAGACTCCCAACCCCAACAGGACAGCAAGCGCCACTTGGAAGTTGGAACCCGTGCCCCTTCAAGATACTCTAGTGGACAAATCGCTCATATTCTGGCACAGATGTTGCCAGTTGCATAGGTTCATGTGGGTTTACTTTGGGATAGATCGATGGATGGATGGATGGATGGATGGATGGATGGATGGATGGAGGAACATAGATAGATGAACATAGATAGATATATATATATATATATGCGTGTGTGTGTCCTAGCTGGGGACTTGACATTTGGCCAGTGTCGACCTCCCTTGGACCACGTCCGGTACTCGCCGAGCGGCCGCAGCAAAAGACCCAGGGGCCCTGGCGCGGTCGAGCGGGGTCCGTGATCGTCCAAACACCAAAGATAGCAATCTTGATGGACATCTTGTGAGATCAAGGGACCAAGAGGTGGGAAAGTCTGAAAGTCTTGGACCTCTCGTTCACTGGTCTTGTGCTGTGGGCTGGAGAGAAGAGAAAAAAAAAGAGCCAACTTGGAGGTGTCAACCCCACCTTGGAAGACGTGCCGCGCTGGGGGCCGCCCTTGTTGGGGGAGCCCTCCGCCGATCTTCGCATCCACCCCCGGACGCCTGACGACTCGACCCGGACGGTGAGAGCGCAGTACCTGCTGTGAAACCCGCGCCGTGTTGCGTGGTGAAACGCGTCGCGAGGCCGAAGGCCGTTCGAGGCCAGGCGCCCAAAAGGGGTGAAGCTGAACAGGTCATTCGCCCTGCAAAGGGGGGAACACGATAAACCAGTTGTGTGTGTGGGGTGCATTGAAGATTCAGGCCAATACAGTTGTGTGGCGCACCGGGTACACCGGGCCGATGCTTATGGATCCGATCCACTGATCTCCGGTGAAATGGGCAATACACTCATGCTCACCTCACCGTTCATGATTTTCATGCATCTACGACTTATGATTCCCAATTTGCGATTGTCATGATTGGCCAATGCCACCCCACTGGTCTGCCAAAGCTTTCCATGATGGGTCTGTGGAGGAAGACCCTGTATTGGCGGGATAGGATTGTCCAAAGGCACGCTGCCTGTATTGGGATGGTACCGGTACATCTTACTCAGGTCCAAAACTACGAGATACACCTGTGCATTGTCACCGGGGGGCGGCATCACAAGTTTTTTCATAGAGCTCTCTCTCTCTCTCTCTGCCTGCTTCTCCTGAGAGCGCAAGACTCTTTACATCTCTTTACCAAATATTGGTCTTTAGGTGACCCGACAAGGAGTGTCCTTTTACTGTGGTGGTACCGAGAGTCGTCTTTGGATTCAGTATATTGAAGGTTCCTCTTCTGTCCCCATGTTCCTGTGCCGGGCCCCAACGGCCAAGCGCGCTTTTTCACCGGGATCCGATGGGCATCGCGCGCGGGCGCCCGCACGCGATCGCATTACACCCCAGTCGGCTGCCGCGCTTTCGGAGCTGATCTGAGCTGCTTCACCAGGTTTTTTTTTTGGGGGGGGGGACCTATATATAATATATATATATACTACAGTAACTATATATGCCATGGGTCTGCGAGAGCGGTTCTGTTTTCCTTGAGATATGGGTCCTGGGTGCGTGGTCCTCCATGTGTTCTCTGCCCCGTCTGGTTTCCCTGGTGTTGTTAAAAGTCACCTATCCACATGGAAGAGCTACGTCTCAACCCGAAGGTGTCACCAAACCTTGGGTCCTTCTACCGCGCCATGTCTCTGCCCGACTTGGGGTCCGTCTTCGACTCGAAGACGTGGCTGGGCCACCACAGTCCCGAATTGGCACTACTTGGGGGCATCCCCTCTATCAACCAACCTACTCTATTATTAATAAACATGATGTGTATATGCGGTATGTATTTACAGTATATCGTAGAAGCATGAAATAGCCTATCTATATATGTGTTGGGGCGTCCGATGATGCTGGAGATACATGCCCCTCTGGAAAGGGAACGTGCTGGAAATGAGGTGATTGTTTGTTTTATGTTGAATTCATCGGAGGGTGTGGCGGTTCCTGGATCAAGTGGGTGGTTTTTGGAGCTCAGCTGCTGCAGAACGACTGGACAATGAGGACCATCCAAACTGATCAAACCAAACTCTTGGTTCCAAAGACTGGTCCACATCGTGGTGTAAGAATCTTTGATGGTTTCTGGACGCGCCAAGAGTTCGGGGCTCTC